TGCATATATTTGTATGAAACGCTATCGCTTCTCTTGATCCAGTATTTTACATTGTGTTGTACTTGTTTGTATTTTACTGTCGTTACTTCGACTATCTATCATGTTATTGTATGTTAACATTTATAAAAAAAATATTTTCATTATTTTGATAACTCTATTGATCTATCACGGATATGTATTTATTAATATCGAGTAGTCATGGATCATCATGAAGTGTCTGCAATTCTCAATCACAGAAGTCAAGCAGCGTTGACGGCAGTCGTGGCTTGGATGGGTGACCGTTAGTTGAAAAAATGCGATTAAAAAAAAGTAATTCATTTTGATTGAGATTTGTGTTCTAAAATAATATGCGTACATTGAAATGTTGTATTAATTCTTACATTCGTCATAAATTCGAGTTTGGTTTCGAAAATGTTTTCTTGTTATTGGTTTGATTAATTCTATATTACATTTAGAATAATAAAATATACATATATGAAATTTTATTATTAGTTCAACTATATAATTAATTTTGACATGATATATTCATACATCAATCAGTAAATTTTTGATCGACCAGTTGCTTTTTTTGTATGAGCAATCGTCGAAGTTTGGATTGACATAGATTCCTATCACTTGTCACGTGCTCCCGCGAGGTAGTTAGTTCGCGCGAGCACGGATCAAAACGGATAGGGTGGGAATCGTAACCGATTCCAAGAGGGAAGGTGTCAGCCCTCCGAGTCTTGTTCCTCCGGCGACCGACAAGGAGTAGCGACGCGAGAATTGGGCGCCAGACGTGCGCGATGGCACGTCACTCGCAAAACGCAACGTTAACGCGATAGCGCGAGAAATATTTTTATGCGCGACAATATTCTACACTCCACAGACAAACGCCACTCCCGAGGTCGATCGCACGAGGGCCAGCCGGCTCTACCTAACGGCAGAGGGGCAGGGCGAGACTAAGGGCGAGTCAGATGGCGGGCGATAGGATGATGTTGGTCGGGCGAAAGAATTCGTACTTTCAATTAAGAAAATAACAATGATGCTGTTTATTAGCCGCGTAGCAAGGCGGTAAGAAATAGCGGGAATTAATACACAGTTCGGTAATAACAAGAAGAGAAATAATAGAAAAGAAAAGATTCGCGTGGCGTTATTAA